CTAATTTGGGAGCCTGACCTCACGGCCCAGGAACTCAGCAGTCTGAGTCACATGAAGGCTGACAGAAGGAGCACTGGTGGGATCCCTGTCGCGTGCGCCGTCCTGATTGCACCGTGGTCACAGTTGTGTGACACCGCCACCATCAGATTTTAGAAGATTTTTGCCTCCCCAAGGGAGGGAATCCCCATACTTGTTTTGGTCCCTCCACATTCTCTCTTCCCCACCCCAGACAAGCTCGAGGCTTCTCTGCAGGCTTTCTGGTTCTGGATTCACTGTGTAATACGTGGGTCTTGGGGAACTGGCTTTTTTCACTTTGAATAGCGCTCTTAGGTTCATCCAGGTTGCAACAATGTATTCTGTGGTGTGGGGACACCTCCTTCATCCATTTACCAGTCAGGACATTTCAGTTGCTTGCAGTCTGGGGCTGTTATGAATAATGTTTCCATGAATTTTCACATTCAGGTTTTTGTGTGAACATATGCTTTAATGTCTTTGGGATATGCACATAGGAATGGATTTACTTGGTTTTAGGGAAGCTTAACATTTTCGAGGACTTGGTGCATTGCTTTAATTCCAGCATTGAGGAAGCAGAGACAGGAGGAGCTCTGTGAGCTCAAGGGCAGTCTGATGAACACAGCAACTTCCAGGCCAGTCACAGCTACGTGGCCAGGCTCTGTTTCAGCTACGTGGCCAGGCTCTGTTTCAAAAACTTTTTTTTAAAAAACTCAAACTACTTTTCAAAATGGTTTTACCAAAGCTGGGCATTGCCATGCATGGTCCCAGGATGTAGAAGGCAAAGACAAGAAGATCAGGGTGTTTCAGGCCGGTCTCAGCAAACTAGTGAGGACAAGACCAGCCTGAACTACAGGAGACCTTGTCTCAAAAAACAAAACTGAGCCGGGCAGTGGTGGTGCACTGTTAAATCCCAGCACTCAGGAGCCAGAGGCAGTCAGATCTCTGTAAATTCAAGGTCAGCCTGGTCTACATAGTGGGTTCCAGGACAGCCAAGGCTACACAGAGAAACCCTGTTTTGAAAAACAAAGACAAAACAAAAATGCTGGGATCATGGGCATAAGTCATCATGCCCCGCAGTCCTCTTTAAAAACAAAACAACTTTTTAGATTTGTGTGTTTCACTTGCATGTACGTATGTGTGCATCTGTGCCGGTGCCCAAAGTCAGAAGAGGGTGTTACAGATAGTTGTGAATCACCATATGGCTGCTGGGAATTGAACCTGGGTCTGCACGAGCAGCAAACGCTCTTAACTGCTGAGCCATCTATCCCGCACATCCCCTACCCCACCACCCTTTTTTTGAAGCAGGGTCTCATGTAGCTCAGGATAGCCTTAACCTCTCTACAGAGCTGAGGATGACCTTGATCATCAGATGTTCCTGCCTCCCAAAGACTGGGATTGGAGTTATATGTCACCCTACTTGGTTCATATGATACTGGGGATCACACCACGGCTTTGTATCTACTAAGCAAGCATTCTACCAAATGAGCTATATCTCCAGCCCTGCCCCAGCTTGCCTGTCCTGGAACTAGCTCTTAAAGACCAGGTTGGCCTCGAACTCACAGAGATCTGCCTGCCTCTGCCTCCTGAGTACCCCGCTTCCCTCTTTATAGCACTGAAATAGTTTAAATTTATTATATTTCGGTTGTGAGCCTAGCCTGTAACGGCTGAGCCATCTCTCTAGCCCATCAGCATCTCCTGAGCATTTACTATGAGCCAGGCTCCAGAAAGTCAAAGATAAGAAGGATTAAAATCCATAAGCAGCTTACAATCAGCGGGGCAGCAGAATCTGTAACAAGTTAGTGTAATGTAAAAGATATGTGGAGTCAAAGATGAAGTCAGGGAAATTAGAATCGTAGAGAATGAGAGACAGGAACATCTGAGAAGAAGGGAACAGGCTGGCATATGGTTAATGTCACAGTAGGAGGGTCACTGATGTCTTTGGAAGCCCAGCTTCTGCAGCAGCAGCCCTGGTCTGTCTAGGGCTATTTAAGCCTTTCAGGATAGGACAGAAGGGGAGAGGGGAGGAAGGGCTGAAAACCAGAGACCCACTCTGGTGTGTTGGCACTCATTGTAAATCTGGGAGGTAGAGGCAAGAGGCTCTCTGTGAGTTCAAGGCCAGCTGTTCTACAGAGTGAGTTCCAGGACAGCCAGGACTGCTACACAGAGAAACCCTGTCTCAAAAAATCAAAAGGGGGGGCACTATTAGAAGGAAGGATGTCATCTTAAAAGAGAAGAGGGGGAAAGAGTGGTAATGGGAAGAGGAAAGAAGACAGCAAAGATAAAGAAGGCAGAGGGGAATGATAACAATGTATGATATGTATCAAGTGTCATAAAAAACCCATCACGTAATAGGCTAACAATTGGTAAAAACAGGACAGATTTATTAACGCCCACCTTTAATCCCAGCACTCAGGAAGCAGAGGCAGGCAGATCTCTATAGGTCAGCCTGGTCTACAGGGCAAATTCAGGTCAGTCGGTACATATATAGTGAAACCCTGTCTCAAAAAATTAATGTTTTTGGGGGGCTGGAGAGATGGCTCAGCAGTTAAGAGCACAGACAGCTTCTTCCAGAGGACCTGAGTTCAGCTCCCAGCACCCACATGGCAGCTCACAGTTATCTGTAACTCCAAGATCTGACACAGACATGTAGGCAAAGCAGCAATGCACATAAAATTAAAAATAAATAAGTTATTTTAAAAAAGTAATATATTTTAAAAGAAGAAGCTGCATTGGGCTGGCAATACAGACTTTGCCAGAATAGGCTGTCTGTGTCTTTTCTAGGTGAGGAAAGAATTTCTGCTCTTTGTTTATTTGATGCCAGCTGTCACACATGGGACTTCGTTATACAATTCCTGAAAGCAAGCACTATTTCTTAAGAAGAACCACAAAAGGGTGCTGTCATGAGTCTTCATTTTCTAACACCTGCTCCTGTGTGTTATATAAAAAGACCTGGGTGGCGGTGGCTATAGTTGGAGTTTCTTTGAACAACCAGCCCCCAAATAATGACATGGAGACTTCTTATTATGAAAGCTTGACCTTAGCTTAGGCTTGTTCCCAACTAGCTCTGATAACTTAAATTAACCCGTTTATAACAATCTATGTTCTGCCACGTGGCTCGTTACCTCTTCTCCATCCTGTAGGTCACACTGTCTCTGAGTCTCACTGGCTTGATCCTGTGCACCTCAGATTCTTCCCAAGTTCCTCTCTCCCCCAGAAAGTCCGGCCTCTCACGCCTGCCCAGCTATTGGCCATCCGGCTCTTTAGTAAACAAATCAGAAGGTGGTTTAAGCAGAGACACACCTTCGCACTGTACAATTATCTCACAACAGGTGGCCGATCTCTGTGAGCTCTAGGTCAGCCTGCTCTACAGAGTGAGTTCCAAGCTAGGCAGAGCTACACAGAAAAAACCTGTCTCAAAACAAACAAATATAAAAAAAATTAAAGAAATGTATATGGGGGGGCTGGAGAGATGGCTCAGTGGTTAAGAGCACTGATTGCTCTTCCAGAGGACCTGGGTTCAATTCCCAGCACCCACATGGCAGCTCACAGCTGTCTGAAAATGCAGTTCCACGAGATCTGACACCTTCACACCAATGCACATAAAAAAAAGCTAATAAATCAAAAAAAGAAATGTATATGGTTTAAAAATAAAAATAAAAGGATGGGCTGGAAAGAGCATTCAGCACTTGAGAGCACTTTCTGCTCTAAGGAGAGGACCCAAGTCTGGTTCCAAGCATGTACACCAGGCAGCCCATAACTGTCTGCAACTCTAGTTCCAGGGATCACACTTCTTCTGGCCCCAAAAGGCCCCTGCACACACATGGCAGGACTTCACATAGATATACAGACATACACACGAGTAAAAATAAAAATTAAAAAAGTATTTTTAAATATTTATTTCTATGTGTGTGCGCGCATGTGTGTATAGGTATGCACACATGTACAGGTTCTTGCAGAGGCCAGAAGAGGGAGTCAGAGTCCCTGGAGCTGAAGTCAGGGGTGATGGCGAGCTGCCTGATCTGGGGTAGGGAACTACCAAGCCTGGCCACTGACTTCAACTCCCAGGACCCACATGGTGGTGCAGAAATGCCTCCGGCAGGGTCTTTTTGACTTCCCCAAGTGTGCACAGCAGATGTGCCCCCCCACACACACACAGATTTCAACACAATTCCAAATCAGACACTTCAGGCCTTTCTGCCTCCACAGCTGTAAAACAGGTATTTTTCTAGTCCTTTCCAAAAACCCCCATTTACAGGGGAAGAGAAATATCGCCCTAGTAGCTTCTGGTTTTACTCGGATTAGGGATGCTGTCCAAGGCATCTCCAGGGCATTCTGAAAATGCGGTCTTGGTGTCTCTATGCCTGTCCCTTTTCTCAAGGGATTACAGGTGTGAGCCAACATTCCTGCTTATCGTTCCCCCTTTGCTTGGTAGTTCAGTAACTACTTTGCTTGGTAGAAGTAATATTTTTAGTGTTTATTCTCATTTCAGTGCGAGGAGGGCTGGTGGTGTGCACCCGTAATCCCAGCTCTAGCGGGATGGAGGCGTGGCAAGCAGTTCAAGGTCATCTGCCTCGGGATTCCGGGCCGGCCAAGGCTACAAATGAGGTCCTGTCTCAAATCAAAGACCCGAAGAAGAGAAAGCTTTAAACGCGTCACACCAAACTGGGGGTCTTCCAAAAATGACCCGAAATTACAGTCCCGTCCCTTCCCAAGGAAAACGCAGGTGGAGGAAGCAAAGCGCTCTACCCGACCACCGCACCCCGCTTCCTCACTCCCCAACCCCGGAGCGGCGCCCCGAGTGCGCGAACCGCTCGAGCGGGAGCCTCCTGGCCCCGGCTGGCCGCTGCGGCCGTCGCAGCCCGCGCGCACGGGTTCCCGCCGTCACCGTGCTTTCCGGCCGGCAGCCCTGGCGCTCCGGGGTCAGGCGGAGGACACGGGCGGGCGCGCGGGGGGCGGGGGCGGGGCCGGAGCACGTGACCGCCGCGCCCGCCCTGCGGCCCCCGAGCCCGCCGCTCCCGGCGTGCCCCGCACTCTCGGCTGCCCGCCGCCCGCCCCTCCTTCCTCTCGTCCCAGTGCCACCGAGCCGGAGCCCGAGCCGCCGCCGCCGCAGCCTCAGCCGCGGGCACTATGGTAAGGTGGGCGGGGGAGGCTGGGCGCGGCGGGACCCCCGCGCGGCCGCCATCTTACCCTGCCCGGGGCCTGGGCGGTGGGCGCTCCCGCGCTCTGGTCCCCCGCGGCTCGAGGGCCTGCGGCGGGCGGGCGGGCAGGCGGTTCCGGGCCCGCGGCCGCTCGGACTCCTAGGGCGGGTGGGAGGGCCGGGTCTGGCCGGGCGCGAGGGGAGTACCCCGGCCACAGCCCGCGTGCCGCCTGATGGGTCTCGGGCGCGCGCCGTCGGGGCGGCCGGGAGACCCGGGGCGAGGGTCTCGGAGGCCGGCCGGGGAGCCGTTGTGCGGAGACGGAGCAGGTGGCAAAGCCGGGTTAAGCCGCCCTCTCGCCGGACCCGTTACTCCGCCAGCGGCTGCCAATGGGCGGTGGGGCGTTTTGCCGTAGCCGCGGGCGGCTGGAGTTTACGCTTGAATCTCTTTCCTTATGAGGAAGCAGCAGTGGCTAAGATGACTTTAAAGAAAAAAAAAAATAGTAGAAGCATTAACTGAAATCCCGAAGTGTTTTTTTTTTTTTGAAGGCCTGCAGAGTTGACACAATACAGAAGGTATTTTTGCGGCTGCTCCTGAAACTCTGACATCACCCAGTGAAATAGGAAACATTTCAGGCATGGGTCAACTCGTATTTGTCCCTTCCCACCTTCCATTTGCCTTTTTCTTCGTGCTCCGTAAAGAAGGATGAATGGGCAATATGAGTTAGGGATTTTAGCTCTGTCTTCTTCTGATGCGGAAACGGGACTGATCTAAGAGGATTGCTCACGTTGTTTGGTGCAGTTTTTTATAGTCATTCCAAGCCCTGTTAGTCAAACAATAATTCTGGTTAAAACCCAAGAGCTCGTTCTAAATTCCCGTCGTTGGTTTATTTTCAGGCATCTGGAGTCACGGTGAATGACGAAGTCATCAAAGTCTTTAATGATATGAAAGTAAGAAAGTCTTCTACACAAGAGGAGATCAAAAAGAGAAAGAAAGCGGTTCTCTTCTGCCTGAGCGATGACAAAAGACAGATAATTGTAGAGGAAGCAAAGCAGATCTTGGTGGGTGACATTGGTGACACTGTAGAGGACCCCTACACATCTTTTGTGAAGTTGCTACCTCTGAATGATTGCCGATATGCTTTGTACGATGCCACATACGAAACAAAAGAGTCTAAGAAAGAAGACCTAGTATTTATATTCTGGTGTGTAAAAACAAAAGAAAAACGTGCTTTTAAAAATGCAAGGATTATTATTATCATAGTCAGTTTTTGCCTTTGTTTCTCTTTTGAAATTCAACGTTTTCTCCCCTGTAGGGCTCCTGAGAGTGCACCGCTAAAAAGCAAGATGATTTATGCTAGCTCTAAAGATGCCATTAAAAAGAAATTTACAGGTATAAACATTGACTGTTTTGTGCGGAAGAAAAGGGGTTCTTTCTTAGTCGAAATAAAGTTAATGGATGTGGCTTTTTTTCTGTTTTTTAGGTATTAAACATGAGTGGCAAGTGAATGGCTTGGACGATATTAAGGAGCCGCTCGACACTGGGAGAGAAACTGGGAGGCAGTGTCGTGGTTTCCCTTGAGGGAAAGCCACTATAAAGCAATAGCCAAGTGCCATTCGATGTTAAGGGGCTTCCATTTCTCCAGCTCAGTCCACTGGAATCTATTGGGTTTTGGTTTTTGTTTATTCCCTTTGCACTGGGCCCTTTCAACACAGTGAATGAATGAATGAATTTAAGAAGCCTGTCAGTGATTGCCATTAGGCTGTTTAATATGGTTACTTTTATGTAGAACCCAAGGAATGCCTTCCCCGTCTTATTTTAGCCAAAACAACTGGTTCCATGCCTTCCTCGCAGTGAGCACTACAATGGCTGTGTTGTCAATGTGAATAGCGTAGAGTACTACAAAGGGTAAGCTAATTGAATGCCTTGAAAGTATTATCCACTGGTCATATGGCGAACCTTTCTTCAGTATTATTTATAGTTGCACTTGACTACAGTTCCCCGAGGCTGGAGCGTTTGTGCCCTCACCTGCCTCGGCCAGCCTGTTTCTGTGACCTGGCAGCACAGATTTAACACTATGCGTTAAGAGCACTTTTTTTTTTTTAAATACGTTTAATCCCTTAAAAAGAATGCCAATTAAGTTTCATTACCTGTCATTGATTTGTCCTAATACCTCAGTGTTCATTCCTCTTACCTGCATATTTTCTTCAAAGAAATAGCTATGTTGATGTCTTTGGTCTCCCATTGAGTATACACTACTGAATAAATGTAGGAGTTTTATGTTTACCGTATGAGTCTTGAAACACTACAGATATTTTAAGTATCAGTCATGATGGCAATTTCTGTATAAAAGAGCCTTAAATGGAACATTGTTTTGAGATCAAATTCCCTACCCTCACAAAAGTGGCCACGTCGCAATAAAAACTGTGGCATATTACAGAACGTTGCCTTGTTTTCCTTGGAAAATTTGCACATTGTCATGTGAAATTTTAGGGTAAACAGCGATTAAGCTAACACTCATGTCTCTTTTTTCCAAATTGTTGAATTTCTTTGGGTCAAAAATATCTTAAAATCACTTATATACATACAATCATTAAAGAATGGTACTTTTATAAATATGTTTATTTATTTCTTTATGTTATAATACGGAGATCAGATTTTTTTTGCACTTTGGCATACTCCAGTATCTTATTTCTCTAGAAAAATTAGGATATTAATTCATAGTTATATTACAAATAATTTTTTTGAGAAGTAGAAATAGGATTTTTTTATTACTTGGTCATAATGAAAATAATTTGTAAAGTGTCATTCAAAGGTTTAGTGATCCTTATGTTAGGAGTGTTTATTTCAGCTATGAGTCCTTCATATCTTTTCCATTTTGAATTGGAAAAAATTTGGTGTAGCAGTCTTAAACATTAGTAATGGGATTTGACTGTGGTCCAGAGCATTCTCCTTATAGAGAATTTGATCTGCTCCGTGTGCGCACTTTGCTATTAGCCAGAGCTATTTATGGCAAACACATGCTTTTGTATCTTGTCATAGTCATCCCCAGATGGCAGAACTGGACTGGATTCTACCGGTATGCAGACAGGCGTGCTGGTGAGCAGTCGGTTGTGGCTCTGAACTTTAGTGCTCTTATCAGAATATAGGAAATGAAAATAGCCTTTTTTTGAATGTGTAGAAGTAATTTGAGTATAACTAGATTTTTTTTCTACCTTTTTGAAAGTTTTTTTCAGATGAGAACTTTAAAACATAGATGTTAAGTGTCTAGGCTTCCATTTAAACTGTGCAAGTGACTTGGGATCTTCTTAGCACTTAGCAATTTTATTCCAGCCTTCCAGCTGTCCCTGTGAGTTGTTCCAGACCTTTCCGTGGCTTTTTGGTAAGGTTACTAATAAGCCAAGCATGAAAATGGTAATGTGTACTAATTTTATGTTTAATTGATCTTTGCACCAAAGGACTTTTCACCAAATTATTTTGTTCTTTCAAAAGTTAAGAGATTTCTTTAAAAGTAAAGGAATGACCTTTTTTTCTTATAGTTGGTTTCTCAGTTTCCTTATATAGTTTCTAAAAATAATTTCAGAGATTAAATATTGCTTTAAACTATGATACTTTGACTTTGTTAGATTGGCAAATATATTAACATAGTTAAATTAATCTTTAAAGTGCACATAAGTGCCTAGAGCCAAAAAAATAACAATTTAATTTAATTAATGATCTTATGTTGGGAATAATTTACATCTTATTTACAATCATTTACAGTGAAACAATGTTCCAGTTAGCTTTAAAAGGTATATGGTGCTAATTAGTAAAATATTGAAGGCAATATTTTACTGCTAGCTTGCAAAATTCTAAGTGTTTTAAAAAATAAAATACATGAAAATATTTAAGGCTGTTGAGATGTGTTTACTTCCATTTTATAACTTTGAAAGTTGGAAAATTAAGATTGTAGATTAAAGTGGCAACATCTGCAGCATTTTTCAAGATTTTAGTTAATAAGCTTTCATTTAGAAATCCTGTTTTCAGACCAGAGAAATGGCTTAACAGATAAAACCACTAGCCACTTAAAAGTATAGAACTGACCCTGCAGAGTTGTCTTCTGACCCCTCCACACTTACAAGTAGCACATACGCATGCATGCACACACGTGTAATAGAGACATAATAATAATAACATAACTTTTTAGAAATTCCATTTTCAGAATTAAGCTTAATGACACATATCTGAAATCCCAGAACTCAAGAGGTTTTAGAAACAGAATCAGCACTTCAAGGTCATTTCCAGCTATGTAGTGAATTCAAGCCAGCCTGGGCTACATGACATTTTGACATTTAAAACTGGGGGAGGGGAGGATATCACTGAGTTTTACAGCAATTTTAACATTTTCAGAGAAATAAAACAGTTGGCATTTGTCCTAAGCTGACTTTGAGCTGTTGTTTTCCATCACTAAAACAGTATGGCCAGCATTATATATTTAATGTGCCTTTTAGCAGCTTACTAAGAGCCTCTTAGGCTTGAGATTCTCCGATACAGGTCCTTTGTAGGAGCTAATTTATGGGGTTTTTTTAAAGACATTTTTTTATATTTTATGTGTATGGATGTTTTACTTGCATGTATGTCTGTGTGTAATGTTCCTGGGACCTGCAGAGGTTAGAAGACCACCCCACCGATCCTGTAGAACTGGAGCTGCCATGTAAGTGCTGGGTCCCAAGAACAAGCACTCTAAACTGCTGGACCTCCTTTCTAGCCCTATACGGTCTTTGTAAAGTGGGTTTTCATTAAGAAGTAATCTCAGCTGTGGTAAACAAATGAGAGGTTTCCCTCTTGTAAAATGGTGCATGCCTAATCCCAGCACGGGAACGAGGCTAGCCTCAGTTACGGAAAACAAGTAACAACAACAAAAAACCAAAACTTTAGGTTTGTCCTCTGACTTCTACATACACTGTAGGTAGGTAGGTAGGTAAATGGGGAGGAGACTTCTTAGGTCCTATCCTTTTTTTCAAATTTAGTAATAGGATATATAAAAAAAAAAAATCACCAGGCAGTGGTAGCGCACACTTTTAATCCCAGCACTTGAGAGGCAGAAGCAGGCGGATCTCTGTGAGTTCGAAGTCAACCTGGTCTACCAGAGCTAGTTCCAGGACAGACTCCAAAACTACAAAGAAACACTTTTGAAAAACAAAAATGGCATGGACATCTACAATGAATATAAAAGCTACTAAAAGACTGGTGTCTGGTGCAAACCTATAATCTCAACATTCGGGAGATTGAGACAGGAGAATCAATCAGTGCAAGTTCCAGGCCAAAACTACAAAACCACCCTGTGAGGACCTCTAAATGCAATTGTTGCTTTTCAGATTATGTCTGTTCAAGATTTTTAGTTTTGCCTTGTTTGTTTGAGATAGTGTCTGCCTATATCACCCTGGCTAGCCTGAAACTTACTGTGTAGACCAGGCTGGCCTCAAACTCAGAGCTCTGCTTGTCTCTGCTTGGGTGCAGGGATTAAAATATGCCACATCACACTGGGTGAGTTTCAGGTTTTTTGAGCCATAATGTAGGGAAAGGTAATATCTACCATATCTGGCATCTGAGGATCAAATGTAGCAATACTTAGGGCTTTGCAGTGGTGGGAACCAAACCTGGGTATTGTGCTGCCTGACAGTCCTGGAAATGTTTTGTAAATGTAAAAGATTTACTTATTATGTATACAGTGTTGTGGCCAGAAAAGGGCACCAAATCTCATTACGGATGGTTGTGAGCCACTATATGGTGGCTGGGAATTGAACTCGAGACCTCTGGAAGAGCAGCCAGTGCTCTTAACCTCTGAATCACCCCTCCAGCCCTAGACCATTTACCTTGAAGGATGTATTTTGATTTTATGTGTCTGAATGTCTGCACATATGGATGTGTACCATGTGTATGCCCTGTGTCCAGGGAAACAGCATAGGAGTAATAGGTGGTTGTGAGCCACACTGTGGTGCTGGGAACCGAACCCAAGTCCTCTCTTACCAGATGAGCCATCTCTCCAGCCTCACGACTTGTCTTTAATGGTCAAGCAGATATAAAAGAGACAAGAAGCCTGGTGTAGTAGCACACACTTATATCCCCAGCACTTGGGAAGCTAAGGTGGGAAGTAGGCTGGTTTTTGAAGGTCATTGATTCTATTTTTCTAACATTGCACTTCAGCTCATAACTTTAAGTGCGAATTAGCTGTATCGTATAATGCTAGGGTGACCCTGCCTGCTGTGCACACACGTAAAAGTCAGGCCCAGCCACGTACACCTGTATCCCAAGTGCTGCGTAGATGGAGACAGTCCAGCTTAGCCCAGTCTGAAAGCTCCAGGTTCAGTCAGAAACCCTCCTCAAAAGCTAAGGCAGGGAAGCAGTTGAATACCTGGATGTTGACCTCTGGCCTCCACAGAAATGGACACATACACACCACGTGTACACACAAACAAGTATACAGTATAGTTAATTTAGCTTCTCTATTAATGGCTATAACTGGGGGGGGGGCGGTTTCAAGACAGGAATTCTCTGTGTAGCTTTGGAACTTGTCCTGGAACTCACTTTTGTAGACCAGGTTGGCTTCGAATTCACGGTGATCTGCCTGCCTCTGCCTCAGAAGTGCTGGAATTAAAGGTGAGCATTACCACCACCCAGCAATGTTCATAACTTTTTAACAGTTTGGGTGTCTTTGATGTGTGAGTACTGGGATCTGGCCTTTTTGGGGGGAGAGGGCACTTTTCCAGACAGGGTTTCTCTATATAGCTCTTACTGTTCTGGAACTCACTCTGTAGACCAGGCTGGCCTTACAATCACAGGGATCTGCTTGCCTCTGCCTCCTGAATTCTGGAATTAAAGGCATGCACCACCACTGCCTGGGTCTGGCCTTTTGCCTCCAAGTAATTTTGAAGTAAAAAGAAAAATATGCTATCCATGGTGTTGACATCTATGACTATGATTTTTTTTGAGACAAGAATCTCAAGTAGCCCAGGTTAGCCTTGAACTCAGTATATGTAGGAAAGTGCCCTTGAATTCCTGATCCTCCTGCCTCTGCCTCATAAATGCTGGAATTATGGGTATGTAGCACCAAACCTGGTTTATTTGTTTTGAGAGACAATCTCTGTATGTAGCTCAGGATATCCTTGAATTAGTCATTTTCCTCAGCTTCCCAAACACTGGGATTACCAGCATGTTCCACTGTAGCAGGCTACCCCTACCAGTTTTGAGAAAGGATGTTGTAGTTTATAGTACTTGTGCATCTGTTGCCTGGGTTGTTGCATACAGACCTTTAATTTTTTTGTTCATTGAAACAAAGTCTCATGATGTACCTTTGGCAGGCCTTGGAACTGGACAGCATGAGGCCAGCCTGTGCTACATGAGACTGTATCTTAAATAAATAAAAAAGAAAAGATTATCGAAAAATAGATACAATATAATTCTGAATGTGATAGTATGTACCTGTACTCCCAGCACTTTGATAGGCAGACGCAAAAGGGTCACCACAAATTTAAGGTCAGTTATGGCTAGTTATGTATTAAGACAATGTCTTAAAAATCTAAAAGTAGCTGGGGACTGAGCCCGATTGATAGAGTACTTGCCTAGCAGGCACAAACCCATGGACTCCAATCCATGGATGCATATCCATGATCCCAACACTTAAGAGAGAGGAGACAGGAAAGTCAGAAATTCCAGGCCATCCTGAGGTACATAGTGAATACCAGGCTAGCCTAGGCTACATAAAAGATCTTTCAGAACAAAAGGCTAAAAATAAGATAGGCTATTCAGTAAAACAGACCTTTAAAAATTACTTTAAAAACAGATTGCAGTCTCAGCAGGTAGAGGCCCACAGAACAAAACTGACTCCTGCAAGTCGTCCTTTGACTCCATAAATGTTATTGTGACTGAAGGAAAGTGGCTCCCTGCTGCTGCCTGAGGATCCAGATGTGGAACTTTCAACCACCTCTCCAGCACCATGTCTGCCTGCATGCCATCATGCTTTCCACCATGCCAATAAAGGACTAAACCTCTGAACTGTAAGCCAGACCCAGTTAAACGTTTTCCCTTATAAGAGTTGCCAGGGACTGGGGTATTGCTGTGATAGGCCTGACCATGCTACTACTGTTTGGAGAAATGTGGACTTTGGGACTTCAGATTAGAAAACTCAGAGTACTTTAAGTGAGACTTCATGTCCATACTAGCAGGAGCGTGGAAGACCGTGCTGCTGAGAGGTTTCGGAGGAGGAGAATAGTACTCTGTGGCCTAGAGACTATTCTTGTGATATTTTGGTGAAGAATGTGGCTGGGTTTTGCCCTTGTCTGAAATATGCCTGATGCTAAATTGAAGAGTTCTGGATTAATTGCTTTGGCAGAGGAAGTTTCAAAACGGCCTAATATTGACTCTGCCATGTGGTTATTGGTGTTCACTCTTATGAAGATCTATAATGAAAAGATGGAAGCTGAGTAAGGAAAATGCAAAACCTGCAGTTCAAGGAGAAAAGGGGCACCAGGAAATGGAATGAAACTAAATCCTGCGTTCAAGGAGATGGATTAAGAAAGGCCTGTTACTAAGTGGAGTAAAAGGAGCGGTGACCTCAGGATGAGACCCCACACAGCTAAATTTCAAATCTGTGAAAAGGAATTACAGAAAAATTTAGGGTTAGGTGTGGTGGTATACATCCTTAATCCCAGCACTCCAGTGGCAGAGCAGGCAGATCTCGAAATTCGAGGCCAATTTGGGTCTACAGATAATTTCAGGACAGCTAAACTTAAGCAGTCAAGGAAATCATTAGGGAAAAAAAAGCTGGTGAAAACATATATGAACGAGGGGCCCATGTTCCAGCCCCAGCAAGTAGCAGCACCTGTCATCTTCAGCCACATGGTTCT